TCCATCCGTATCTTCAACAACTCACCTACAACGGCTCTTTTGCTTGAAGAACATTATATATATCCATTCAAACATATTCTTTTATTAATCCAAGCAATTCAATTCATACTTTTGATCCTTCAACATTACTTCCAAGCAATTCTTCAAGAAATCAATATTTGCTTGAGTTTTGGAGAGTACTAGTGTGCCATACTCTATAAGATCTTATATTCTACAGCAATCCACTCTTAATTTGAAGAGTATTTCCGCTGTGCACTTTGTTTTTGGAACGGTGTGTGAATTGTAAAAACTTGAAGTTGTTATAATTCAAGTTTTGGAGAGAAATCCTAAGTCTTGTGAAATCAAGACTTCGGTGGAAAGGTTAGAGGCTTGGGAATTCAAGTTCTCGAGTTGTAATCGGATTGTCAAACTCCGTTAAGTTTGACAAAGTTAGTGGAATCTCGGGCACGTTTGCTTCGGGGACTGGATGTAGGCATTAGGCCGAACCAGGATACATCGTGTGTTGCTTCTTCTCTTCATCTTTGTGTTCTTGTGGTTGATATACTCCTGCGAATTTTTAGTTCTTCCAAAAGTTTTGATTTTTGAAGAACACCTCTATTCACCCCCCCCCCTCTAGAGGTGCGTAAGTTGTTCAACAATTGGTATCAGAGCGTGGCTGCATTTCCAAAGCTTTACCGCCGGAAATCTAGATCATGGCCGGTAGAACATTCCAAGCTGGTGTATCCGAAGGACAATCTACTACACGTCCTCCATTCTTTGATGGTACAAATTATGCATATTGGAAGGAAAGAATGAGGATATTCATACAATCAAATGCCTTCGACTCATGGATGGTAATCAAGCATGGAAACACTACTCCTGCAAATATTGTTGATGGAATTCGTGTTCCCAAGTTGGAATCCGAATATGATGATCAAGACAAGAAGAACGTCATGCAAAATGCCAAAGCCATCAACTATCTTTATTGTGCAGTCAACCCCGATGATTATAGAAAGATATCAAGATGCAAATCCGCCAATGAGATGTGGACTAAACTCGAAGTCACTTATGAAGGTACATCTCAAGTTAAAGATGCTAGAGTTGATATCTTATTGCATGAATACGAATTATTCTCAATGAAGGAGAATGAAAGCATTGATAGTTATTTTGAGAGATTCTCTACAATCATCAACAATCTTGACACGCTCGGAAAGTATTACACCGATCATGAGCTTGTCCGGAAAATTCTGCGTTGTATGACTCCTGAGTGGAAATCCGAGGTGAACGCCATAACTGAA